GCACACAGTTACACCCGCACACAGTTACACCCGCACACAGTTACACCTGCACTGCACCTTCCAGCTCTGCCTTATTCACCAGAAGCAATCAGCACCTGCACTCTGACAGTGATTTGGAGAAACCCACAGTAACCCCTCTGGTGCACCTGATGTATCCAGTGCAAGCCAAAGGATAAATTTACTGAGAATCCAGGCCTGTTAATGGATGTTTTTATCAGAAAGAAGTCAATTAATTCAGATAGGAAAGTCCCCAAGTTTCCACTTGTTTTCTGTTCCAGCTAGTTCTTGCTTTCTGACTACAGTGGCTTATGCTGACAGGGAGCAGGCACTTCTACAGCCTCCATCTCTGCTGCCTCTTTTGATGCTTGCAACAGAGAGTTCTAATGCAGAGCCCCAGTCACCCTATTTAAGAGGAACAGAGCTGAAACTATGGGAAATGAGGAGGACAGGCTCTGTTAAAAATCTTTTTCAGGCTTGTAGATCAAGACATCTGACTTCACCTTAGAAGCTTCCACTGGACAACTTAAGAGTAAAAAAAGTAGCAGAGAAACGCACTCACTTTAACTTTATTGCCAAGGGAATGGTGTAGAAGAACACATTGATTTGAAACACGCAGATGAAGAAAAGACTAAAGTGTTCAAACATCTCTGCAAAGAAGTACCAGAAAAGGCCAATATTGGGTGTCAGGTCTGGAACAGAAAGGCTGAAATTTGAAAAGAAAGTAATGGTAAATGTTYAAATAGTTGTTTTTCACTGCCCTGCTTCTGTTGCATTAATTAATCTAATAACAGCATTCTACTGGATGGAGTRCCTAAATTATAAATCCATGAAAGATAAACCAAAGGGGTGAAAATGTGGAGAGCAGATTTAAATTCTGCTGAGGAATCCTTCCTGATAACCCAGCAGAATTGAAACCATTCCCAAGCAGACATTTCTCCTGAGAGAAGTATTTCCCAACCATGGTAGCTCTACAATCAAAGTAATTTTCAATCACTCTAYGGAAAACTTCTCCTGTCTTTAATATCTGGCTGTTATTTATTTAAGAGAAATTGGAATTGTCTAATAGTTGCTTTCCTCCACATATTCTTTCCTTTCTTGCACTRCCAGTAAATCACAGACCCCATACTTCCTGGGACAGCCACACACCTGTGTGTGATAGGCAAGAAAAAGCCTGGGTGGGGAGGGTGAGGCCATACAGAAAATCCTCAGTAAGRATTCTTATACTTACATAAACCCATAAACAGATGGGATAAAATCCCAGGAGTTGAGGAGGAAGAAGGAGAGGCAGATGATCACCACCAGGCTGCACAGGTACAGGGATGCATACTGCATGGTGTAGAGCCAGAAACTTTTGCTTTTCAGTTTGATTGGTATGAACTGACGCTGAAAGTGAAACAGAACCATCAAGAAAGCCTGAGTTCAGAACATCATTTTAAATTAATGAAAGAAAGCATCAAACATTTGCACTATGGCACAATTTGCTTGCTGTTCTTCACTCTGACCAATTGAGTCATACACATTGCATGTATTCCCACAACTGTGTTCCAAAATACAGGAGCACAGTTGGTCATTTCTGCCTGTCAGGAGTCACTGAAGTGAGCACATCCACAGATGTGGATGCACTGGTACCTCAGATGCACCAAGTGCCGGTCTTCTCCTGCACGAACCCACTCCATGGGGTGACYGAAATCCCTGTTCCACAACCCCCATCTCATGGTGCTACTACACAGCCTGGCACTCCTGCCCTGCTGAAATCAGTGAAAAAGGACATCCACTGAGTTTCTAAGCACAAAGGAGCCTCTTGGAAAGCTGGATTCTTCAGACAAAGTCCTGTCACTGCCACATGTTCTTGACACAAGCCAATCACAAGCCCTTGTCATGTAACCTCCCACTCCATCAGGTTCCCTGACTGCCTGGGTACAGACAAATACACACAGAGGCCAACACCTTTGTGAACTGCTCCACATTCTGCAGCTCCAGGTCAGTAATGGGGCTTTTCCATTTGGCCCTGGACTTTGCAGTAGCAGATGAGCAGAGAACCACCCTGACTGCCATGGGCTCTGTGTAAAGSCCACTGGGTTTCCTCAGTCAGGGTGAGTTTAACACCATTTGGTGGGATAATGTAAGCAACATTACCAACGATTTTGGGCAGGACTGATTGGAAAGAGTGGGAGAAAAGTGATTTAATTCTGTACAAAAAATGCAGGAAAGTTCATTTACAAATTTAGATAAAAGGACACACACTGGCATGATTGCCTTTAAAAGCCACAAATTAGGCAACCACGTATCAAAGCMCTTACTGTTTGTGAATGCAATGTACAATGCTTGCACTTTACTCTCAATTTACTTCAACTGAAGTTAAAAGAGAACAAACTAGACCAAAATACTAAATATATAAATTCTCCTAAAAATYATCAAACTGAAAAAGCAACACTGACTCTGCACTTCTTCTCTTACAAAGAGAAATAAGAAAATTTCTGGAAAAAATGTAAGAGACATTCATGTCAGACATTCAAAGAAAATTAATTAGAACTGACTCCCATTCTATCTGGAAGTTCAGAGATCTGAGAGTAGGCTAGTTAAATAGTTAAGACAAGCTACAAAAGTCACCACCAGAAGCAAACAAAAGAGACTGGTGAAACACAGAACAGCAGCATTTTAAAATAATAATTTCAAATTTTAAAAATTATCACAAAATAATCTGTGAAGTGAGCTGAGCCTCTGCTGGCATCACAGCCTCACCCTGCTACCATAGCAGAATAAAATTAGCAAGGTCAGCCCTGTGGGATTCAGGGTCCTGTTAATGGAGAGGGAGAAAGGACAACCAGCTTCCTTCCAGAAGATGCCTTTTGCCATTACACCCCAAGCCAGCATTTTCAAACTTCTCTGTGTCTAAGCCCCTCAATGCAAAGAACAGCACTTGTCGGGTTACAGAATGTTTGCAGTGGTAGCAGCAAAACAACAGACCTTGAAAGTCAGACCTATCGCCTGTCCCTGCTGCGGAAGAAGCCTTGGAATTAGTAAACATAACTGATCACGAGTGAAGTAGGTAGGCCACAAGAAAAGTTTGTAACCACCAGTTCACGCTGGACTAAAAGGAACACTGCTACTGTAAAGGGTATTGTTTACCTAGTGCCACAAAAGGCAATATTCTGAGACAAGATAATTGACTGGAGTGTGCTGTTGTGTAGAATTAGTTCCAGGTTAATTTACAATTCATAAGGAATTTACTACTGCACAATAAACATCTTCAGATCTTCACATGGCAATGTGGAGTCTGTGCCTCAGTCATCGCTAGCACTTATTTAGGGCAAGATAAACACTACCCAATTCTGTACATGATTTCCCACTCCCTTCTCTCCATAYGCAGGCATTCCCGGAAATTCAGGGTTCAAACTTGCCATGGCTTCAGGAAAGTCACTTTTTCTGAAACTCTGCACTTGCCTGACTCCCCTCTCGAGAACTGTCCTTGCACAGCTACAGGAAGACAACAGGTACCAAGAGYTGGAAATCACCCACCTGCAGAAGGTAAAGCAGTGCTGGAGCAAAGAGGGTGAGAGGGTAGAGTGACTGGTATGTTGCTAAGGCCAGGAACACAGCACTGAGGAAGGCACTACCTGCAAAGAAAAAAAAAAAAGTTAATTTAAGGRACTTCTATTACAAACAGCCTCACAGACATGAAGTCCAAATGGGAAGAAACACCACCCTCTTCAGGGACCCACAAATATCAGGACACCACTTAAAGGAGTTTTTAGCAGAATGTACCCTGGAGGGTGTCCTCTTGTTAACATTTTGAATGGAGAARGACTCATTCCACAAGAAGGAACTGGTGGCTGGTTTGTATCTCCTACCATTCACACACAGAAAGAGATCCATATAATTCAGGCTATATGAAGTCCTGGCAGCTGGCTGCTGTTAATGCATGGGAATGCATTCACTTAAGTCACATCTGCAYGTAAGAGCTGCCATACTGGGCATGCTGGATAACCTCATCACCACAATGTGTTGGGACCTCAGCAAAACTCTGAGCAAGAGAGAAAGCAAAGTCTGCAGCTGAAGGAAAGGAGTGGTATCAATTCTACTRAACCAAAACCAAGGCATAGAAAGGATTGGCACAGTTTTCCAAGTGATTGTATAAATATGAATGCCTTTATTGAGGCAGCTTTATTTGAGGTGTCTCATGTTGAGCTCAGTGTTGAGTACTCCCATTTCTCAACTACCAACATAAATTAAGTCCAAAAGATCTCAGGTTAAACAATGAAAATACARATGCCCAGTGCAGTAGCCTGGTTGTAGCTACAGATGTGGTGGAAGTCCTCCAAAAAAAGAGCTCAGCCAGAAAGTGCCCTGACTCAGTGCACTGAACCAGCCAGCAAACACTCAGAGAGCTCCTCTCTGCTTCCTCCTTTGAAAGAGAAAATACAGGGTTACCTGGTRTCCTCTCTTCAATTACACCCTCCTGACAGAAACCTTCCTATCCCGTATTTTACCCAGTGTTCAATTCTGCACAAATCTAAAGAAATGATTCCCAGAAATCACAGTCATAACCTGATATGCTCTTTTCCCACTTTAGGCCCCAGGCTGCCACAGTCCCACTCAGGGACCAAACAACTGGTCTTAGAGTGTCAGTGAAAAGTTAAAAATCAGTTTAGTWAAACAGACCCCACTTGTTTGCTATTGCAAATGCTTTTAAACAAAAGTYCCTCCTGGCTCAATTAGCCAATAATTATAGGAAAACTTTCCTTTGGAATCGCTGATAAAAACTATCTATATCAGCATTCTTTTTGTTTGGTTTTTTTTTTTTTTCAGTGCCTGGGTCTGGGCCTTGCTGGAGACAAGAGATCAGACTGACCTTTCCTCTGATCCAGCACAGAGCTCCTTAAGTCACTAGTACCAATCATATCTACTWAAAGATTTTAGGATTGGAGAGTCAAAAAAGAAACAGAAAGCTGCCATTATGCACAAAATGAAAGAAGCAGCRATTCTGATGTAATCTACTCAGCTGGGCTGGTTTGGGTCTTTCATTACTGCTTCTGCTTYCCCAAAGCTCAATTAATTAATTTCAAACCATGTCTACAACTGTGAATGAAAGCCAAATAGCTGCAGGCAAATGCTTGCTTTTGAGTGAAAGTTCAAGGATAAGCTTTGAAAATAAATTGTGCACAACACTTTAAGTATATATTCATGTACAAAAGAAGAGCAACAGAGCTCTCATGTCCTGCAACACAGATCTATTTCYTCCTGAACAGAAAACTATTTGAAGCCAACCAGGAAAAGCAGTCAGTTTTTAGATAAAACTCCTGGGTACATTGAGGTGAAAGTAAGTTTTGACTTGACTATAAAGTCTCTTGAACTCCTGAATACATGTAGAACTTTGACCTTGTTCCAGTCCKGTTTCTGCTGTTTCAATCACATCTGTAAAGTTCCCCTGGATTTAATTTTTGCTACATTTCCAAACTTTCTAGAAAGTCACAAAGAACCCTTTTGTCTTCACTGTGTTACCTTTTATTGTAGCTAAAATGAAGAATGCAATGACAGAGTTGTTGATGGCACAGGTGGACTTTGCCACACAAGACATCACAGTGTAAGGGTTTAACAGGTAGCTGAAAAAGAACAAAGCTCAGGTTACATTCAAAGGAGACAGTATCTAATTAAAAAGATGTTCAGAGAAAAAGAAAAGATGCACTATGCMTTTTCTTTCTGTTTATTTACATTTTATCATCAGCAAATTAACTGAGCTCAAGAAGTTCTTTAACCTGAGGCAAAAACCAGACTTCTGGATTGCAGTCTTGGGCACAGGGGCTACAGGGAGCCCGCTGCAGAAATGAGACATTGGGAAGATGTCCAAAACGCAAGTTCTGGCCTAGAAAATGACTACCAGAAATGTTCCTTGCTTTGCAAAAACACTGTACATTTACTCAGTCAGATCCAAGATTATTGGATCCAAAGGAAACTTCTGCTACTCACATCTACTGCTTCTGAAAAAGGGTAAGAAGAAAACAGGATAGCAAGAAATCTGAGACATGAGCAGAGTTTCACGCAACCCAACAAATCTCCTGCTATGGCAGAGCAATCATTTATGTTCACCACAGCACGACTGAGCACAAAACCTGCCAGCTATGCATGACTGGCAATTTTTAATTGGAATTATGGAAAAAYGCTGCACAACTTTACACTCTAGGATGCAGCCACACTAGCTATCAAGGATGCCAGSTCCTTTTGGAAATAAGAATTATAATAATCTAATTGAAATATGCTCAGAGCAAAGAAAAAGGTTTGAAGGATTACTAATACAGTAAGTATGATAATATACTGATCAGACTTGCCAATAACWAAATTACTAATCAATCAGTAGACAGGGCTGCTGATTTCCTAATTCTTTCTTTATATTTTCCTACTTCTCTGGGCCCCAGTCTGTCTTTTTAAGTGTTTCCAGAAGGCCAGGCTACAGCAGGACAGGTACAATTTAAAGCCAGCTTCGATGTGGCAATGTGCAAAACAGTTTGCAATTTACCCACTTTACCCTTCTAGCCATGGAGAATGTGCCATTTAAAAAATTCATATGAAAATAAGAAAAAATGGCAACTTAGCTAATGGAGAACCCTCTCTGATACAGAACAATTTGGATAATTTCTTTGTGTCAAAATATCAATTAAAAATTCTGTAACAGTAGGTACCTTGCTTGGATATTATTTATTTTAGCTGAAGCCTTCTGAAATAAAAAAAAAATAGTATAGAGGAACACCAAGACATGAAATTAGTAAGTATCATTAATAAGTATGATAGTATCTTATGCAATATGGAATATCCAAGTTGTGATATTCCGTATTTTGTCCAGCTACTCAAAAATTCTAACTTTTTTGAAGACACCATCTGGAAGGCACAGAATCAATTCTGATAATATTCATACAGGCAAAATAAACGGGAATGTGATCTGTGCAGACACAATGTTCTTRTTACCCAGTTAATGACCTTATGCTGCTGAGCCTATCTCCAAGGGCCTGAGTGAATTTACTTGTTGGCAACAAACACATGGAAGTGCATCTGCTTTCCACTTTCAAACTGAGCATTCAGGGTCAACAGGAAATTTAGAATTTCCGGGRAAAAGAAACCCAACTTTGCACAGTTTTTGAAGGCCCAAATGAGATAAATAAACCTCAAAGGGTGCTGATGAACCAAAGCAGCCTGCTGCAGCCTACAAGAGCAATACTTACAATAGTGCTACCTTGAGGGGGATGTAGTGCATCTCCATGGGTGTCTGGATGAGTTCAGCCACATCTGGTGCATATTTATCCAGTTCTATTAGGAGCTTCTGCTTTTTGAACTGAACAAGGGAGAATGATCAAAGACTGTCAGAAGAGGAAAGTCATTATTCTGTACTAGTTGTGTAATTCTATTTCATATTACTCAGCCAGTTACCTGGGGTTTCTATTACTGTGGAGCATATCCAAGCACCTGGTGTGAGCAAAAACTTTTGTTATGGGAAGAGATGTAAAGAACAAAAAACCMTATCTTTTCCCAAATACTTAACAACTGAAGTGAGAGTCAGGAGAAAGCAGATAATCCCTACTTGTTTAAACTTCCTTAATGRCCTGTGTCTAGCTCTTGACACAGCTAACAGTGAATTCACCACATTCAAGTTCAATATCCCAATCTTCCTAACACATGTCTGGATCTCTAACGAAAAGCTGACTTTATAAATTCACTGTTCAACACACAAGTCCCTAAAAAACCCAGTCTCATAAATATGCAGGCTTTGCTGTTTTGAAGATAGATACCTTTAATTTCTCTCGTTCTATGAGGGTCTCTACAAAGACAAAGGAGAAATCTGAAATATGAACTGACTGAACTATGTCATGGTGAGACAGAAGGACAGAGATCCTGGCAGTAAATKCTCAACAACCAAAGTAACCCACATGGGATTTTTACATGCTTGTAGTTCTACCCTGAGTTATTCCCTTAACCTCAAAGTCAGAGGACAAAGAACAACCATGAAGCTGGGTGGGAGACCAGAGAGATGCTGAAGAAAATGCAGTCTCTCCRTTGACATTAACATTGAATCCCTGACCTCTGGAATTGCACAGAGCACAGCACTGCTTACACAAAATGTTCTTTGAGAGCTGGGAGGAATCTCTGACCTTCAAACACAYACCCTTATAATTTGAAGGGAACAAGTAGTATTTGATGTCAGACTTTCACAATGTTCACTAGAATTATTTATGTTAACTAACAACCATTAGAAGGTTTCATTCCTTCCTTTCCACATTTCTAGTCTGTGTATTACCTCATGCTGTGTGCAAAGAAAACACTCTGCAAGGCAGAACACCCTGGCTGTAGATCTGCACTGATCTCCACTCACAGTGTGTAGCTACAGACAATGTAATAGTGCCTCATCAAAATTTAAAATACCTCAGTTGTTTACCACATATAGTCCTGTTTATTATTAAAACATGATTAACTGCAACAAGAACTTGACACTGCATCCTCTGGCATGTCTTTTCTTTGGCTCAAGATAATTATATTTGCTGGGAGAAGAGGACCAGCAACACTGGAAGTCAGCTTACCACAACTTTGTTGAAGTCCTGGATTGCCAAGTAAAGGGCAACAGCAGTTAGCACATCAGTTATCTAAAAATGCAAGGGATAGACTGATTGTAAGCAAAATAGACAAATGGAGAAAAAGATATTGGACARCATTTACCAGGAGTTCTCTTTTGACTCGGCTCAGGGAAACAAAACACAAGCTTTAAAAATCCTCAAAGGCTGATTTGTACAGTGCCTTCACATACCACCACTTCACCTTGAATGCATGAGRTGTATCAAAAATATTTATATTCACAAAACAAGAGAATGGGGAATTAGAAGAAAGAAATTGTTCATGGAAAGCAGCATGMAAGTGTAATAGAGAGAATCAATCACTGGTGTAGTGAGAGCACAGCAACACTGGGGCAGTGTTGGTTAAACCCACCTGGCCACCAGGGCAGCCAGACAAGGACCTGAGGACAGAGGCTCCACGGGGGACCATGTGCAACCAGCTATAGGATTTCTGTTCTTCTGAATTATGCAGAACTCGAAGAACAATTTACAAGAGACATTTGGGGGATTAACTGATCTGTGCTCCTTGCAGGTCTGGGGTATGGCAGAGAGAAACAGCAGTGTAGGGATTAGGCTGGGGGGACAAAGTATTTGGCTACCCATAAGAGATAACCTTTGAAATCTGAAATGACACCTTCCCATCCCTCTGTGGGGATACTTATCTAAGCAAGAACTCACAAAAATGAAGGAATATGTACAAGGGAAAGGCTTGAATGTGGGTTTGTGCAGGTAAAGCTGCCTTTGTAATTAAGCCTGTGAGCTCAGCAGGAATCTGAGGTACAGGGAGGCTGAAAGACTAAAAGTCACATTCAGCATTTCCCTGAATGGGACCTTTCAAGAGGAGCTTCTAGGAACACTTACCATGAACACCAGTTCAGCATATTCAATCAGGAAGTGAAAGAGATAGATTATCAGTGGAGTCTGAAACAGAGCATAAAGRAAATCCATGTCAAATGCTGTCCAGATAAAATACTGGTGATTTAATGAGWYAAACTACAACAGTCAAGTAGTTCTACAAGACACYGCCAAAGGTAATTTTCTTTGGCCTCTTGTCCAATGCTGGTACTTCAGAGCAAAGTRATTAATCAAAACACACTTACTGTCCTTTTTGCTTGCAAAGGCCTCAATGCACTTTTCAAAAGACACCATCAACTCTGAAAATTGTATTCTATTCTAACTTTTCAATTATACTACAATAGTGGTAGACTTACAATAGAAAGCATACAAAGACTAGCTTTAAAAGTAATTATTTTCTAGAGAATCTATTTTTTTTTAGCTTGTCTGCAAGTACTTTAGAAATATTTCATACATAGATGGTTCCACTGTTGAACCAGTTGTTTASATGAGTCTTTCATAATGCAAAAAGAAGAAAGCATGTTAAAAACATAAAGAAGTATGGTTACAGTCCTATTACTCCTCTTACTCCTACAGCTTTTCCCTTCTAAGGTAAGAGGAAAAGCATGTTTCTGAATTATTTCCATCACACAAAAGCTTAATCTGGAAGCACTATATTTACATGCTGCAAATTCAGTCTTCACTGTAGGGAAMTAAATTTATTGAAAAGAAACCAGTTTTCAGAGGATACCAAGTACCCGCTTCACCCCAGGTGACTCTATGTATGATTGTACCTTCATATTAATAAGACCAGTTGAGGGCACAAAACCCCACAGGTTCTTAACTGCTTTTGGAGGAATGAGGTGTTTTTGAGATGAGGAATAAATAAACTACATGCTTGTGCTAGTTTTAGGATTTCTGCAAATGCAGAGACTCCGGGTGCTGTTACCCAGTAAATCCTATCAGAATCCCAGTGACTCTGTCCCTGCTCTGTGCTGACAGAAACAGCAGGACATGAACAGASTATTTGACTTATTAGAGAGTTCCCCTGTCTCAGAGTTTATTTATGCAGAAACAAACATCACAATGTCTGTCCCTGCAGAGGGAGTGTGCTGGGATTACCTAGATTTCCTCACACTGGTCACTGCACAGCTCTTTCTCAGACAATCACACAACTTTGGCTTCTCTGCAGTCTTTGGGACCAGACAGGCTCCTGGCCTTCTCCAGGCTGCAAGCAGCCAAAATGAAACCCCTGCCACTGGAATATCACATTTAAAACCAAGCATGCACACCAACCTCATGAAAAATAGCTCCAGAGTACGGTGAGACTCCTAAATCCAGCAGAGCCAATCCTTCGACCACTGAAACAGACAAAACACCTGCATTAGACCCCTGTAATGTGGSAAGTGAGAGATCTCATGATGGTAAAACTGCAGTTTTCAAAATACCAACACTCTYAGAATTTCATGGAATGGGTGACACCAAACTTCCCAGAGCCAACAGCCAGCCATAACCGATTCTCCCCCAATTCTGCCATGCACATTCCTGCATGGGCACTCCTCACCTATTTATTTGTTTCAGCTAAAAATGGTCTAGATTAAGTCTTTTGCATTTAACTCTATATAAATCACATGCATGATATCTCCTCCTTTTGAGTCATCTATCATGTGATATATGGGATCTGTACTGGAGAAGCACTTAATTCCAAGAGGATAATCATAACATAATATAGAATTTGAACTGCTTTGCCTCATTAGACATGGAGAGGCCTAAAATGTCCAAAATCACAAGGGAAGAACAGAAATTAAACATATTGCCAGGCAAAGTTAAAAGCTTCCTCTCATTGAAAATTCTTGACCTTTTACAGCCTTAATGCAGCTSCTTCACACTCATAGTTACAGCTTGCCCTGCAATGCATGTGTGTGTTTTTCCACAGAATCTCCACCCTCCTGAGCACAGAGGTTCCCTGGGACTGTGTAGTATGCAGTGAAAGGGGCTAAGGGACATGGTTCCATTTGTTCAGCAGGAAACAGGCWGGACACTGCAGGAAAACACAAAAGGTGCCCAGTTCAGTGACATGCTGGGGAAGTAGATTCTGGCTGCCACAAACTTCCCGTATGGTAACAGCCCAGACTTTTCAGGATTATYCCAGTTTTCCTACTTTCTATCTAGATACCGCCCTTGATGCTCTAAGGTGGTATTTAGAAAGATTCCACTGCCTGGGAAGTAAGAAGTATTACATACAGTGGAGCAGAGGCCTCAGGTCATCAAATGCATTTCTACTTTTGACCCTTACTATTCTCGGCCACTCTTTCCCACCCGAAAACTGAAAATAATTTTACCTGCATAATAACGGGATACCAAAGGGTTGCCTTTACAATAATTTAAGGCTCCTAATAGGCTCAGATGCTGCAGATGACTGCCATTGAAAAGTCCCCATTACTCTGTACCTCACTCAGCCTTCAGAAGAGAGTTTGAATCGCTGCGTAACATGTGGGGCCACCAGCTGACCAAGGGAAATGAACTGGGGGCCAGACTGTGGTATTCTCACCACGGCACGGTGCCTGTGCAGGGACAGCGGTACGGAACGGGCCCGGTCGAGGCTGCTGGAGCCACACGCTCTGTGCCGAGCCGATCACGGCCCCTTTCTGTACGTGCGCGACACCATCAGTGTCCCCCACCAGGCGACGTCCTCTGCCTCCAGCCCCGCGGCCCTCCCGCCCCCCGCAGCTGCCAAGTACCGGCTCCTCCAGAGCAGAGCTGCCCAGGGCCCTTTCGTGCAGCTCTGGTTCGGGCCCGGGCGAGCACGGCCCTGCCCTGCCCTGCCCTGCCCGGGGTGCAGCCGAGAGCCCTCCCCACGGGGCTGCTCCCAGCCCGGCGCTCGGCCGGGGGTCAGGCCCTGCCCGCCCGGTTCGGGGGGTCCCGAAGCCCCGGCTTCTCCGCGCCGCCCCCGCAGGGCTCGACCCGGCCAGAGCTGCACGAAGGGCTCGCCGGGCCTCACCTCGCTTCCAGGCATTTAGCGGGGACGCCACCTCGACCCGCTCGGCGATGAAGGCGGCGACGCTGGAGCGGTAGAGCGCGGCGCGCACCGTCACTGCCGCCAGCACCACCAGCACCAAGGGGGCCGCCATCCCGGCGCGCACTCCGCCGCTGCCGCCGGCTGTAGTTCCCGGGCGGCACCGGGGAACGCGCCGCCAATGAACCGGCCCGCCCGGGCAGACTACATGTCCCAGCGGCCCCTACAACACCACCTCGCGGCACTACTCGGAGCTACGGCGGCCGCGAAGGGGCTAAGTTAGCCGGAGTGCGAAGGCCGCGGCCGCTTGGAGGTGGCCGGGGGAGGTCCCGCTCCTCATCCCCTGAGCTCCCCTGTCCTGGTCATCCTTGCCCAGGGCGCCCACACGCGACAGCCCCTCCTCAGCCCGAGGATARGGATGGGTCCGTTCTCGAGTGGCATCCTGCTCCTCGCGGGCCGTCCCTCCCGCCTGTGGATCCGAAGTGCCTCTGGATGGCAGCTCTGCCCTGCTGGGGTRGGGCCTTGCGGGCTGGGCCCAGCTCGGACGGGGAGCATCGGTGGCTTCTGAACTTTTTGGAAATCCCCTCAGATGGTTCTTTATTTCAACAGGTCTTTCACAGCCCACCGTGGTGTTTGCCCGCGTGTTTGCTGTGGCTGTGGTGAGAGTTAGGGCTGTTGTGAGGGCACTGAGTGCTTGTAGCCCTGTGTGGTTTCAGAAGGCTCTTGGCAGACTCAGGTTCTCAGTCTGTGTGGTTCCAACAGCTCCAGAGCTTAAGAGTTCTGGGGAGACTTTCGCCCACCTGCCTTCCCTGAACTTTCCTGCTGTTCTCCAACAGGAGAACATAACTGTTCCTCCGTCCCCATCCCTGGCTGTGCACAGCACATTCACACACTCGCACAAAAAAAAAAAGCCTTTACAATGCTTAATCTGAATGGAGACAAGTGGAAGGAAGACATAATAATCTGATAAAAATTGAGCAACAGTGGAAACACATTTCATGAGGTATGTGAAGACAGCAATGTTTMATGTAATTAAAAATAGGATTTTCTGCGTGTCCTGGGATTGCCACTGAAAAGAGCTGGATAACGTCCAAGTCAACRTTTATGTTGAATTTATGTAGCTTCRGAGCTGGAGAGTTGCACCCACCTGCAGAAATGGAGAAAGGCTGAATGCCTCTGGGTCCTGGTCCCTAAAGGCCCAGGTGACACAGCACATACTGTCCCCAGGACTGGAGAGACTGGTGGGATGAAGTGGTCAGTCACATACACCCTCTGGACCACGGCTGCTTAGAACATGAATCCCTTCATGCTACAAAACCAGCTTCAGATGGTCCCAGGGGTGTTTCCTACTGTGCTCACTCCCTTGCCAAGGTTCAGCCTTCACAGGGCATCCCTTAAATGTCATCTCATCCACTGCCTAGGGACAGCAGATCTGATCCTTAAGCCATAAGGGGAGTTTCAGTGCTCAGCCTGTTGTGTGCAGCTCCTCTGCTCTCAGGCTCTATGTCACGAAGATGTGGGTTGTTGGCAAAACTGCTCTGTGAGTGTGGCTCTAGCTGGCCCTGGGACTTAATGGCCCCGGGACAGACAGAGCCTGGCACATCCTCTGATAAATCAGGGTGAATTCATCCAAGTTAATTTATTTGTGCACACATCTKTAAATGGGGAACCAGAAATGCTGATTATTCTTCTTTGCATCTGTTCACAACAGTGTCTTGAGTTTTCTGATCAGAAATGCTCTTTTTTGTACRCTGGTTCCCTCCAAATGACAATTCTGATCCAAGGCACTTGACGGCCGTTGCCTGCAGCTGCTGTTTTGCTGAGTGGCACATAGTTGTGTGGTTACTGCTCCAGGATGCTGATATTGCCAGTCTGAGCTGTGCCATGTGCTGTCCAGCACTGTCTGATGCAGCCCTGGGAAGTTTCTGATAATCTCAAAGGGCAGCAGGAATCGGATGTGGAATCATGCCACTACAGTTGTTCTGTGTTTAGTTGGTGTGCCAAGCCAACTAAAAATAAAGGTCRAAGAATAATTCATGACAATGCAGCAATTCTTTCTGGAGCATGAACTTGCTCCAGCGTTTCTCCAGGAGGAGATGTGGGGGCTAGCAATGGAGGGAAGTTTTTAAGCTAATTCAAAGCATCAGCTATGTAAGGCATGAGAGGGTTGAGTATCAATTGGTGTCTGTCTATGGATGGCCCCTAATTTGGGGGGTTAGAGCTGCCTTTAAGGAGGTGCAGTAAACACACCCCTGTTGTGGTGCTGCCTTTTGTCTGGCAGGARCTTCTGAAGATGTTTTCAGCCAAATGAGACACAGGAGCACACCTTTAAAACCTTTGGGGTTCCTACAGGCTTTGTGAAAATCAAGGGAAATTTCAAGAGACCCAGGCTGGGGTGGGTTTTGCACAGGCAATCATTTGGGATCTAGCAGTGTTGCTGTGCAGCTCCAAGTCAGCCAGCACAGCCAGCTGCTTCCCCAACAGCAGTGAAGGGGCAGGGAGGGATGACAGCAGAACAAAGAAGAGATCTTGGGGCTGTCACAGACTCATGCTGAGCTGGATGGAGACTCCCAGCAAGGAGCTGAAAGAACACAAACCAGAAAACTCTGAAAAAATCCTGTTTGCTTGGTTGGTGCAGCAATTTGTTGTTTGGTTTTTTTTGTTTGTTTTTTTTCCACAGAGGCATGAACCTGATCTCTTCTGTCCTGGTGTTTACCTCAAACTAATGGTAGTTTTTGCAGCATTGGGAGGTTTACCTGCTATGCTTTCTTCCTGAAATGCCTGGGCTCTGCAAGTGATTTGGTAGGAATGTGCAAGCAGGGCTTGGTGTKCTGAGGCCTGGGAGCAGTTTAAGGAGCTGAAGTTTGGTGATCTCTGCTGTGGTGCCACCAGCAGTGTGGCAGTGGGGCCGTGSAGTGGTTGTTGGTCCGTACAGGGAGCACCAAATGCAGCTCTCAGGGGGACCTTCTCACTGCCTGCCCTGCAGCCTCCAGCTTTTGTTGCCTTACAAAAAGAAGCAGATCTAATGGAGCCCAAAAGGCAATTGAGAGCTGCTGCTGCTGGAAGGTCTGCGCTCCCTTGCTCGGGCTGCCTATGTGGGGCACCCACGCAAAGCGCTCAGGGGATGAATTCAACCTGGAGATGTTGCATCACAGAACTTTCATAAAACASTCTGTTTAAGACTGAGTCAGTTCAGGGGTGATTCATCTTTGTTCCTRCAAACAGATGCTGGTTTGGGCACTTCTCGTGTGCCTTGCTGGAATTATGCAATGGTGACATTTTTTGGGATAAACAAGCCACTCCTTTTCTAGCCTCACTGTATAAAATAGGTGCTCTGATTCCTGAGGCATCCTCCCAGTCCTCTCTGGCAGCTCTTCCAGTCTAATGCAGGCCTTTTTTTTGCATTTGGGAGACCACAGCCTTGTTGTTATTCTGAGATTTCATCAGGGCCCTGTGCAATGACTTACATATCTCAGGGATGCTTCCTGTTCCTGTGGGATCTATCCCACTCTGTCCCATGTCCCGGAGGGGTAATTTTCACCCACCATTTATTATGGCCATGCTGTCATGTTTTATTTCCATAGTCAACCCCTTCAGTGCTACACTATGCTTTCTTCTGCCTTTCCCACCACGGACCTTGTGTAACAGTAGTTGCATTGTAGTCATTACTGGTCCTCAATGGCTTTGGTTTTCCTAAGAAATTCACATTTGCATACTTTATCTCACTATACTGGGGTCCTTTACTCATAAACACTTSAGTTGCTTTTGCATCTCCTTTTCCAAGTTGTCTTCTGTTGGARTTTATTGGCTAGAACACCTGCCAGCTTTTGAGTTTGCCAATAAAAAGTACCTATGAATTCATGTGCCTTTAATTTGTGTGGACTGCATGAATTCTCATTACTTCTTTTCTTCGGTGTTGATGGGTAAAAACTGCTGTTAAATTGAAGGGTATTGCTGTTTTTAGAAATTGTTGGGAGAAAGGTGCTTGCCTTTTATTGATTAGCTTGGAAAACAATGGATTTTCCTAGCAGTCTGGAATAGTAGTGCTGTAGATATTTTCCAGTCTTTCTGCTGCTGACTGACAGAAGACAGCATGAGGCTTGTGGTCTTTTATGGAGGTTAATAATGATCTGGATCAAAAATGGAGCCTGAGTGATTGGTTTTTCTTCTTTGGGTTCAGAGACAGGAGAGAATAAACTGCACTTCAGATTTCTCTGAGTGGTTTCATGTGCCAGGAGCTTCCTTTACATGAAAGACAGATCTCTTTGTAAGACAGGAAATCAACTTTTCTCAGCCCCCAGAAAGATTGTATTTCTGCTTTGACTGTTTTCCAGAGTGAATTTTTTATGGCAATGTTAAAAAAAAATCCCCAAAGAGGAAAGCTCTAATCCCTTCCAGCTAACTTAAGCCAATTAATCATCTAGTGAAGCTTGTCATCTACATGAGGGAGAGATGAACTTGTCCAGAGAGCAAACTCACCTCAGATAGCTCTCCTGGCTGGGGAAGGGATGAGCTGATCATGTGAACTGAACACCGAAACTCTGGACACCTGAAGTTAGGCAAGAGGAAGTAAAAGGGCCTGATAAACATCACTGTTCCGCTTTTGGGCATTGGCTAAACTACTCACCTTGACAGTGGCATCTTAAAAATATGGGCTGTCCCTTCACTGACATTGCTTTGCCATCACTCCTCTGCACTATCTGGGTGTGATCAGCTCCCAAAAAAGCACTGTGATGGACCTGGCACCCTTCTGCTGGGCTGGCCTCTGGTCAAAATCCCCTGCTGGTGATGGTTGTTCCTATCAGATTTGTGAAGGTTTGTGGGTTTGGTTGTTGGTTCCACCTCTCTGCCTGGTATCTGCCTTTACAGAGTGATCTGCTTGCGCCATTCTTTCAATGCTGAGGAAAGACCAGAGGGTCAATATGGTCTTGCACACCAGTGGTCTTTTTTCATACGATGAGAAGCACTTCAGGTGAGTTGAGTTCATAGGACCCTGGTTTAAGTTTTTCAGCAGAACTTCATTTTTCCACAGAATTGCTCAGTTGGAGTGTTTAAGAACAATCTTTGATGCCCACTGGCTGAGCAGCCATGGACTCTGTGCAGTCTGTAAGCACCTGTGTGGTGATGCATGGACTGTGCTTTCCAGGGTAACACATCCATGTGCGACACCCCTCTGCCATGGCAGTGTGTCCAGCTGGGCTCCAGGGAAGCAGAAGCAGAAG